CATAAATGTTGAAGTTTTCATTTATTTGAAATCTACGTAGAGAATTTAACAGAATGTGAAGGCTGTGAATTCAAGTGTTTATTGTACATTCAGCCATGCCTTGCTTGGTTCATCAGTCTTGACTGGACCCTCCAGCATTCAGATAAGCCTTGAACTAGCAGAGACTCCTGATGAGAGCATTATCTTTAAATCCTTTATCACACAATGAAGGGAGAAGAAGCTGTGTCCTGCACAAAGTTAGAGAAGAGCAGTTGACTAGACCTAGGTGTCTTGGTTACTTTTCTCTCATTGCTGGGACAAAATATCTGACGCCCAAAATTAAGGAAGGAAAGGTTTATTTCACTTACAGTTTGTGGAGGTTTCAGTCCCTACTTGGCAGATTAAAAGGCAGAGTGGCACATGGCAGACGGCTACAGCTCCTGGCACAGAACACAGCAAAGCAACAAGCACTCACACAAGGGAGAAATGGCCAGAAGCAGAAAAGCCAGGAAATGGCTGCAAGAGCCTCTTGCTCTCCCTTACACATGCAAACTATCCACCCCAGGGCAGGTGCAGCTCTCACACCCATAATTACTCAAACTCTAAAAGCCTGCCCCATGGCCACATGAGGCTTTGGGGGGACACCCAGATATAAACCATAACACTAGGTTTCCTGTCTCAGTTTTTTGCTGCAACTGGGTTGCAGGAAAAGAGGTTCCAGCTTGGTAGGAAAATGCCCCATAATGTGCTGGCTCCAGGAGCACCCTGATGTTAAATACCAAAAAAAGAATAGAATTAAGTTTAAGGGGAAAAAAGGGAAATCATTCGTCTTTGTAAGCCACATGCAACTAATTAGAAATTAACAGAGATGTGTCTTATTTCATATTTATTGGAGCAAATATCCACTGGCCATCAAACTTGAGGAAAAGCTTTGTTATAATATTAATGTTACCAATTTAGAATGAAATCTTACAGTTACTGATGTTTCTTTCAGAGACATCATTATCATTGTGGATTAAGCTTCAATATTGAGACATAAAATGTTGTAGGAATTATGAAGTATATGAAGATACTTGTTTTTCTGTAGTTCATTTGAGAAATACAAGGAAAATATTTCTTATCCCCAATTTCTTTCTCCTTTGTCTCCTTGGTGTCTAAAGTGTTTGCCTTTAGTTTCTGCCTTTTAGATGTAGATCACGGTGGACAACTAAAGAGGTGTCAAGGACATGCAATGGTTTGTCAGCTTTAATTAATTATGAATACTCTACCAGAGGGTAGAGAAATTGGACATAGGATGAGTAATTTGGACATAGGATGAGTAATAGGAGAAATTGGACATAGGATGAGTAATTTTAATGAAAGCAATAAAAAGAGTCAGATGAAGGGAATTCTGCAGCAAGGTGAAGATAAAGGGGAAGAAATTTTTTTCTTTTTAAATGAGAAGCATTTACAGAAAGAATAGGAAAAGTTGATGAGTGAAATATTGCCTATCCATCATTTTATTTAGAGTTTTGTCTGTTGACTAATAATTGATAGAGGATTTAGCATCCTTCTTTTGAATAGCAACATATTTATAACATTTATATGCTGTTTTAACAGTTACTGCACACAGCTATAACTATGATCTGATCTAAGCTACTCTGTCAGTTAGACAGGACAGGCACTAATGACTCCTTTTGAGACAAGGGAATTGAGGTGCAGGGTTATTTTTCTTTTTTTTTTTTTTTTTTGAGAATGTCTCAGTTTGTAATTCAGGCTGATGTTGAACTCACTCTGTAGCCCAAGTTTGCCTCAAACTCATGGTAAACTTCCTGCCTCTGCCTCCCGAGTGTTGGGACTACAAGTATGCATCATTATGCCTGGCTTAGAGCTTTGCAGGGTTCTTAAGTAACAGTCTAAATTTACAACCAGTGGGGGGGCCTACTGTAGGATGAGAACTTCTATGTCTTCATTCTGAACTTTCTCTCTTTTTTGTACCAGATGAAATTGGGAAAATAATTTATGCATAGGGATCAGATGACCTAGGCTGGAGTTTGCCACTTTCCTTACCAGCTGTGTGATTAGTAAGAATCAGATGCTACTGCTTTGAATTTTTCATCTGTGAAAAAGTATAATAACCCTACCTGGTAGGATTGGTGTGAAAAGTCCATTAAATTCATGTGAGCAAAGCAACCAGCTTCATGCCTGGCATATGGCAGATAGTCATTACGTGGACTCACAGCCACGTGAAAACATATCTATTGTCCATATTTCATGTACTTCATCTCCACTGAAAGATGCAGGGCAGTTTACTTAGCAATGCTATATCTCCTGAGTTCATGTTAATTCCTGTGGAAGTGTGTGTGTGTGTGTGTGTGTGTGTGTGCGTGTGTGCGCACGCGCGTGCACATGTGCATGTGTTATGGTAATGCACCTGTACGTATGCACACTTTCGTGCACATCTTAGGGTGCACTAGTAATTTTCTGTGTTCCTCGGCTGTGTGGAACCAGACGGAGTAATCAAACATGGGGCATCCATTTTTTGTAGAAACTGGAAACTGAGTCATAACTATAAAACTAATTCATGATTGAGTTTCAGAAGCATAGATATTTTATTCACAAAGTATCAGACCATTATTTTGTGTTCCCAGCTTGATGATCTGGAAAATTTTGGGGAAATTTTCTTTAGTAGACACAGCTATGAACTCACACAAAATTGCATTTGCTTTTGAGTGTACTTTATTTACAATTAGTTGTTCATTCTTGAAATGTTTTAGAATCATCTTGATTAAAATCAGTACATAAAATAATCTTCACTGAACTTGTTACATATGGCACAGAATAATTTGACACCGTATAAACTTTTCTTTGATGCACAAATGGGAAAAGCACCTTTTGCTAAAAGCAGTATGATAATTTAGTTCAACTTTGCTGTGGTGAAACTATAAAAAGTAACCACGAGGTGGCGCTGTAGATTACAAGTAGCCAGTAGATTACATATAATTTAAACTGAGTTTTCCCTAACTACTGCATTAATTTCTTTCTTAAGTGTAGATGAATCTATTGGTCAGCTTAAAGTTGGCTAGGAGTGAGTCCTTTATCGTGGACTGTTCCACTTGGGTGAGAAGTGTACTTAAAAAGCCATAATAATCAAGAAGTCTCCAGACTAAACAAAGGGCTCAAAGATCAGTAAGTCTGTATCTGGACTATTGTTTTTATCATCTTTATAGAACTGTGTTAAAGTCTTTCCACAAAATTAGAGCAACTTCCAGTTTATTTAAAGGATAAAACGCTGTTACACTTTAACTTCCTTTGACAGTAATAGAAGGTCACAGGAACATTAAAACATGAATTCACATTTAAATCAACATGATACAAACATGCACACGTGTAAATACTGAATGTTTTCATTGACTTGCTCTTCTTCCATATAAATATATAAATATTGAATAAAGTGCATGGGAACCTGTCTGTACATATATACAGCTACATGCTTATCTATATACACTTAAATAGATACTTTATGGAGCAAAAAATTCCACAGTCACACTTGTAATATATGTTTAATCAGAAGACATTTGTCAGGCAATATTTATTTTCACTCTGATCAAGACTGAGTGTATGAGGGTGGAATCTGTAATCTTCTCAAATGTATAGTGAAATGTGCAAACATAAACTAAGGCAAAATATATTACAGCAGAGACTTTTTAATACTTATATTTTCATCATTTTGAATGGTATTATCATTAAGGAATAGTTCACTTGAAATGCAGCTTTGGTGCTAGTGGCATATTATAGATTCTAGCTGTGAAATAGTGAACCATCTTTCAAATTATATCTATAAGGACATAATTAGGATAGCCCTAATACATTTCCAAATTGCATAATGATGGCTTTTACTTTGTTTAATTTTCAAATCTTTATTTTATCCAAAGGCTTAAGGTAAAAACTACTTCTTATCCAATAGACATGCATCAAGCATTGTAATCAAATAATTAACATTGATTCCAGTAAAATTGCAATTTAACCTCTAGTATTACAATGCCAAGGTGGATTAACTACTCCTCATCTTTTTCTCTCTTTAGCAACCATCTCTATAAAATGTTATATTTATCTGCTTTTTCATTAGGGAATACAGGGTTAACAATACTAAAATGAGTGCATTTTTAGAGGGATGAAACAAAAATTTTGTCCAAAACTTTGATAGTTATAACAGATCCAGACTGAGGAGCAGATTAATTGCAATGTTTGATCGCAAGTGATATTTGCCCTCTTTCTTCCTTGCTTGGCATTCGTTGGTAACCAATTAGGAAATCTTGCCAAGGAAACTACCTTCAGAGCTGAAATAAACCTGTTTCTGAACAAGGTAAGAAGGAAATAAATTGAATTGTCTTTCAGAATAAATCTGTTTATATTTTTTTGAGAAGACACATTTCAGTTTAGTCATTTTCTTTAAAGGCAAGGATCTTACTTTAATAATTTTTATATCCCTAGTACCTAGAAAATTGCCTCACCCATAAATGTATACTTAATAGATGATTATGGAGCCAAGCTAAATTATTTTAATAAATAATATAAATGTATTGATTTGAAGCATCAGTTTACCTGATGAATGTCAAAAGGAAAGTCACCTTCTTTGTACAGAGATGTCCTAAGACTTGATACTGTTACTAGCCAGAACCTGAGTTTATTCTTCAACCCTGACACAGTTACGTTAACATACTGTTTACTGTTCAAAGGAGCTCATGCGTGATACAGTAACTTTACAGTGAGTTACCAAATACCTCTGGGGTACTGTTTAAGAGAAGCAATTTCTAGACATGTACTTGGCAATGTTAAATTATCCTTTTGATAGTTTACATAGTAGAACAAATATTAAACTAGATCTCATTGGAAATTCAGAGTAAAGCACAAGTAGAAAAGAAAGCAGCAATTGTTGTTTAATAATATTTAAAATCTTTTCCACTCCTGATAATTAATTTGATTTTTTTTTGTTGTTTATTTGTTTGTTTGTTTTTTTCCGGTACCGGGGATCAAACTCACAACCTGGCGCTTGCTCGGCAGGCGCTGTACCGCTGAGCTAAATCCCCAGCCCCCTGACAATTAATTTGAAAAGCAGCAACTGCTAGCAATCTTGTAAATATTTAAAAATGGCATCTATGGAAAAGCAGGAACGAAAAGCGCTGTCAAATATTTTATTCGATTATATTAGCGATACAGATTTCATAGCACTGTCTTTAAGTGCCTTTTTTTTTTCTTTCAAAATATATGTCCTGGCAGATTTTAAAAAGCATTGGTCTTTATTTAAGAGGTCACTATATTAAACAAAATTTTCATTATTTACAGTTATTTTTATTTACAGCATTAGGTATACAACAGAATCCCATGCCATCAGCAGGAATGGCAAGATTTCCATTTGATAATAGAAGTTAGATTAGATTTATTTAGGGCCTCATTATAATTATAGAATAAAAGCTAATTATTTTAAAGACGTAATTTAGAATGTTAAAAATATCATAAAGCTCACAGCTGAAATGTGGTCAGAACATTTTTGAAGTGCATGTTTTGTGGCATTTAATCCTGCTTTTCACTGATGGAATACATTGAACCACGCAGACATTATTTTCAGTTCTGTTAGAGCAGCCTAAGTTTTTCTAGTCTCCTTATTTTTTCTCCCCCTAGATAGATGAAATCTAGTTCAGCGTGCGCTCCACAGTTGCCATGGCAACCAGTCCATCACACACAGCTAACCTTTTCATTCATCGTGTGGCTATTGTCTGTACAAATATCTTCGGGATGTTGTTTTCCTAGAGATACCATAGAGCAGTCGTTATCTGTGGTCTTGGCATCTTTCTTAGAATTCTTTTTTTGTCCCATTTGGAGTTGACTAGACTTGTAAGCCAAAGCCGGTATAGTGTTCACTAAGATTAACTGCAAAGGTTTTTTGTTTTCCTTGTACTGACACTGAATATACCGTGAAAAGGCCGACCTGTATGTTTTATTGAACAGTGTGTAGACGAGGGGATTGACTGCTGAGGAGAGGTACCCGATCCAAACAAACACGTTGAGCAGGGCTCCGATGACATCTTCGTTACAGGACTCTTTACAGATGACAGCCATGATGTTCGTGATGAAGAACGGGCACCACATGACCACAAACAGAAAGAAGACGATGCCCAGCACCTTGCAAGCTTTCTGCTCATTGTTGATGGACTGCATAGTCCTCCTGCCGGCATAGGACCCGGGCTCCCTGTGGATTGACCTTTGGAAGAGTTTCTCTGAGGACAGGGAACTCTGAGGCAAGAAGCTGAAAGAAGATAATTTGGCCCTTGTGCCAGGATCGCTAACACACAGAGTAGCTTCTTTCTGAAGTGACTTGATAGTCAGAAAGTAGGTGATCACCATGATGGTTAAGGGAATGAAAAATGACACAAAAGAACCGATCAGGACAAAGTTATCATCAGCGAGTAGGCAACTCCCCTCTTTAAAGACCTTGGAATCATCCTGCAGCCCAAAGACTGGGATGGGCATGGATATACCTGAACAGAGACAGAAAATGAAAGAGCGTTATTAAAGAATTGAGCTCACAAATTCCAGTGCATTGGCACACAATTGTGGCTTTTCCAAGGATTTTGTGTCAACCTTTTTTAAAAAGCTTAATCTATGCTTTTAAAAGGAATTTATATTCCCTTGGATTTATCTGTTTTATGTGTATATACTAGATAGCTCCTTTTGTATTATATTACTCTAAACAATCTTTACTTGTAAAAGATTATGATAAATCTAGCATCTTTTTCATGTCATATTTTTCTGATTATAATGTTTTACTTCTTAATTGATGAAAACACATAAGCAAAGAAACACAAAATAAAATTACCAATAATACCACCATCCAGGAATAACTGCCAATAACAATTTGATGCAGTTTATTTTAAAAACGCATACATACCATGTGCACATATTGTTAAGTAGAACTAAGATTCTACTTCATATGTAATCCTGTAATGTTTTTCTTCACTTAACACTATATCACTAGCATAGCTTATATATACAAACTTTGTAAAAATAAACATAGTATATTTACCTTCTAGTAAGTTTGGAAAATACAAAAATGTAATGAAAAGGTAAAACAAGATGTATTCTTAGTAGCCAGGGTCAACCACAACTTACATTTCTTCTTTCATTTCCATATGAAATGCATATATCAGGTGTGATAAACAGCATGGGGAATGAGAAAATTTAAAAAGTGTATTACAGTGAAAGACATATTGCCACTAATCCCACTTGAACATGTTTATGCCTTGGTAGTTGCCACTTTCAGAAGGAATTCTAGAAGTCCTCTTTGGTGAGTGTCTTTAGTTATGCTGCCATGGATATCTCCATATCGTGAGTCAATTCAAAACATTTGCGTTTTGATAATTTTGCATTTAAGGAAAAGCAAAAAGTCACAAAGTGTACCCTATCTATTGAACAAGGCAGCTAGGGATGCACCATAATTTTTTATGGTCTTGCTTTTCCACTGATGTCAGCAGCATTCACTGTATTTTTGATCACCACTCATAAAGACACTCATGAAAGCAAACTTCCAGAACTACTTTGGAAAGGGCAAAGTTGTTGGGATAAGTGTGTTGGATGAGAAGAGAAGTATTCTGAGGGAGTTAAATGACAATGTGCAATAAATGCCAATACTGTAATAAAATTCTAAAAATTTAAACATTCACCTATAGTTTGACCTATGTAGTACTTTAGGTGCACTTTTACGTCTTCCTGTTCCATTTAATATTAAATCATACAGTTACATATATTTTACAAATGTATGTAAATGTATATTTACATATACATTTTGAAACACATGATTTTCTACTGTTAATTTAGAGTAATTCTAACCAATTTGGATACTTTTTAAAGGAGTTTTTATGATGCAAATATTTTAACATATGCAACCCCCGAAAAGAATAACAGAAAAGCTCATCATATTGAACCTTTCATCCAGCTTCCCCAATTGTCCACTCAAGACCAATTTTGTTTTACCCACACTCCCACCTGCTACCACTCCTGCCATATTATTTTAAAGCAAATGTCAGATATATAATTCAGTCTGTGAATGTTTCATTGTATAGATCTAAAAGCTATGCAGTTTTAAAAATACCCCATATACTCAAAAATACCATTCTCATTCCTAAATAGAAATTTAATATTTCTGTAAAGTCATTAAATATAGACATACAATTCAAATGTTGCATACAAGTTGTTATATGTTTTAGTAGTAGCATATTCATGAGGAAGGGTTACAGAAGACAAGGCAGTCAAAGATTTTTCTTTTGTTGTCCAATCTAAGAGGTTCATAGTGTGCCACTGCATGGGAGCATGAGCCAGTAGTTGTTCTGCCACTGAAATCTGGGGGACCTGTCAAGCTTCTCCAGGCAGAGGGTGCAGGAAGAAGGATAGAAATGAAAAAAGATGACACTTTGCCTGTGATAATGCTTATTTCTCTCTATGAGGGTAGGATCTTATCTGAGGGAGGTTCAACTGACTGTTTTGTGCATTTTTCCCCTTTCTGAAGCTCAGGAGATGCTAAGGAGGCTGCGCCTTGCTGTGCAGGCTGCATTTCCCATGGGTTGTCTCTGCTCTTGCTGCAGGTTTGGGACTGTTCAGGTAATTGAGGTAACGAAGGTAATCATGAAATGTCTTGCTCTTTCCACCATAAAGGATGAGGGTTATGGGAAAGAAGAGAACATGATCATCAACTATATAACTGAATTCCAAGTTACTTTGCAAAAGTGTAGACAACTGAGAAGCAACATATAGTATATGCGTTGAAGCCTCCCCTAAGGGAAGGTAAAGTGGAGACATCTAGAGACAAGTTGCGAGGAAGGATGAGAATGAGCTTTCCTTCTCACTCCTGCCTATTTCAGTTCCCCGAGCAGTATAACAGAAACAGTCCTGGTGTTGGCTCTAACCACTCTGTAGAGTCTAAGGTGGGGTCTCACGACAGCCAAGAACACCAACTCCTTCCCGACTCTTGGGCCACTCTTTGACTCTTGCCATCCGTTAGAAAGAGGTTCATCTGAGGATATGTACGCTAACTTCTGCAGTCAGAACATAGTTCAACTCCATCAAAACACAGATATTGGGGCTGGGGATTTAGCTCAGCGGCAAAGCGCCTGCCTGGCAAGCACAACGTCGTGAGTTCGGTTCCCGGTACCGGAGAAAAACCAAAAAACCAAACCAAACCAAACCAAAACAAAACACAGATATTGACTGTCCTAAGCCCATATCACCTTACCCTGACCATCCTGGTGGGAAGGAGCATTAAATTTGGCTATTGTAGTTTAACACAAATATTTCATAGTGGGATTTGGCATTATCATCAGGTTTGGAAGACAATATTTGTTACTTTTCTATCCAAGGCCATGCCAATATTGGAAAGTAGAGATAAAATGACACCAGGGCTATTCCTAAGGACACTTATTGTCACTAAGACTCTTCATTTCTTTTATTCCTCTTTGTCCTTCACCCCCATTGTTGGGAACATTGTTGGGAACATTCTGTGGGCCAAGAGTTATGGCTCTAAGAGGGGCATCCCCTGAGACCCTGCATAACCACTGCTTCTGTTTATCCTTCATAAATCTCATCATCTTGAATAATAAAGTATGATTTTCAAGAAGAACGTTTTTTCCTCTAGCACTTGCACTTCTAGTATTCACCCAGTCTCATTAGACAATGCAGTTTCACTGATTAGAATGGATGCATTTAATACCTATTTAAGATGGCCTTAAATTTGAGTCTTGGATATGGCTCTGAGCTCTTGCACTGAACACCATCCTTGTGATGCTCATTTCATCTGTGAATGATACGGGCACTGATATACCTTAAAGAAGGTGGAGGTATGGAAAAAACGGATCAAACAGAGAGTGCTCAGAATAGTGCCTAGTCCAAAGATGATGTTCTACCAACGTTAGGCAAACATGGAGCATTTTTCTGGAGGGTTGATCAGATAAAATACATCAGCATTATTTTATTTTAATCTATTTTGCTTAGTTTGTTCATACCAGATGTTATGTAATGAATTTTCATAAACCAAAAGAAATTAAAAGAGTATTGGCTATTATCTATATAACAGTAATGTAATTATTAGCTTCTGCCAGGGTGAGATAGGTTCTCAATCAATTTTAATTTGGTACAGCTAGAACTGTTGATTCCTCTTCTAATGTGAATTGCAGTCATTACTATTAGTCATAATACATATAAACAGAATATCAACTGTCAAAAAGGTATTTTTTTATTAAAGTACTGCATATTCATTCTCCTAATTAGTTCAAAGGAAGTTACTATCTTGAAAGCCTTTTGCTCTATTTGTTTGCTACTTGGTAATTTATAATAAGTGGTAATTTTCAGTTGAACAGAATGTGGGATTACCTAGGTTGTCAAATTGTTCAGCTGTTTAGAATTCAGAACTGTGTCCTGCTTAGGAAAGCTTGTACACACACACACACACACACACACACACACACACACACACACGAATAGCTCAACTCCAATTTCTACAGCCAGGGATGATGCAGAGATTCCCTCCTCTTAGATGTCTGGAATAAACAGCCATTCTAAAAGGAGAATATGACGAGAGGTTATAGGGTTGTTCTGTGTATGGAAAAGAGAGACTTTGTTTGAAAGAAGAGAATCAAGCTGGTAGGTCTTTAAATGATACATTATTCTTTAGACATAAAAAAGTACCCTGGTGCTATAGTGATGTCTACCATTCTTTTTCAGTGCCTCACTCATGGTAAGTGGTCAGCAAAGGTTTGTAAAAAGACTATCCAGAAAGTTAAAGCAACCTAGAAAGAGAGGAAGAAATTTTGTCAAAGAACTAGAACATTTAGATAGGCTTTGTGAGTACAATAAACAGTTCAAAATCATGCTCCTACCAAGAGATGAGGACACTGGCTGATATCCAAGCTTGTGGTCACAGCCAACTCCAAGGCATTAATTTTCTGGCTGCTTTGTTTGATAATAAGTGCTTCTGGAGACCTGACATCTCCTCTCCCTTGAAATTTTTGCACAGGAAGCATTTTCCTTTATGAACAAACACAAAGTAGCTTGAACTGTGTGACTCTGCATTTTGTTTAATATACTTCTTTTCTGAGGAGTGGAAAACAGCAATCACAATTCACTATCAGAATTGGATCCTCCATGCACATTTTTACTTCTTTCTATTAAAACTCAGACAATGAAATGAAAGGAAAACACTGACACCAAAGAACCCAAAGGCTTTGATGGGTGCCTTTCTTTTAGTATAGTTCTGCTTATACTCTGCACATACAGTTTACACCTCTAATTAATGTCTCACCATAGGATGGCTGAAGGACCTGAACTGAACCCAGGGCTGTGGAGGATAGGCTTTAGTTTTAATTCTAGACTTTTACACTTTAATATCTTAGGACTAATGGTATTTCTGGGATGAGGTGTTTTCCTTAGGGGAACCTGAAGGGGAGCTTCCTAGGCAGCAAGACTTCCACAGGAATGGCACAGAGGGAGTCCT